AGAGAGAGAGAGAGAGCCGTTTCTTACTCTGCAAAATGGGAATGAATCTTCCCTTTTTCGCAGGAATTTTGCAGAGGAGGGAACGCCAGAGAGAGAGAGAGAGAGAGAGAGAGAGAGAGAGAGAGAGAGAGAGAGAGAGAACTGGAAGCCTAGCATCTCGGCGTGTTCCCTGCGCAGTCGCCGCAAACTCGCCGGTTCTCTCTCTCCCTCCCTCCCCCCCCTCTCTCTCTCTCTCTCTCTCTCTCTCTGTCTCCTGGCCCGCACGTTTCTTTCTTTCTTTTTTTTTTTTTTTTTTTTTTTTTTTTTTTTTTTTTTATTACCCTCGTAAAACAGTTTCTTATGGTCCTGGCTCCATATCCAGTACCGGGAGCGCCAGTTCTTTCCCACTTCCGCCACAGTTCGGTCCCATTTCCGCCAGTATGGTCCTGGCTACATATGCCAGTGTCTTGTAGCTACCGTGCTAATTACTGCCGACAAGTCGTGTCATCAATTACAAAAAATAATCACAAGACACGTGTGACCGAAGGAACCGATTATTGTAAGTGCTGATTATTCCTTTTTTTTTTTTCGATTTTTTTTTTTGTTTTTTTATTGATTACTGCTTTCTGGAGGATTGAACGAGAAATAAAAAATTAATACGAATGCTTATCAGAACCATGGAACTAAAACAAGCTGCCGACGGTAAACCGTAGGGGCAGAGAGGGACAAGAGGGAGAAGAGGACAAGAAACGAGGGAGGGGCTGTGACAAACTGTTTCGTCGGGGTTTCACCGACTGACTCATCGATCAGTAGAGGCTGAGCCCTCAAAAACAGTCAGCAGCATCCCCTACCTAACTGAGTACATTACAGTGTAAGTGATAATCCCCGCTTAACCCCGGTTGTGGTTAAGCATCATCAACGACTGCCCGACAACTGATACCCCTCTGAGGTGGTGGGGACCACGATATATATATTGTACAGTCTCCTGATGAGTCGGTGAAACTCCGACGCATCAGTTTGTCACAGCCCCTCGTTTGTTGTCCCTCTTCTCCCTCTCTGCCGACGGTTTACCGGGCAGTTCTGTTTTACGATATGTATATATATGCATATATATCTGTTTGGCTAGATAGGGCGGTGATTATATGTGGGGCTTGTCATCCAGGATCTTGTTGCCCCCTGTTTTGTTATATTTGGCTGTTCCCTTCCTCTTTTCTTTGCCTCTTTGCCTTTTGGCTGTGTGGAAGTGGGTCGGTATGACACACGGGGGTGGGAGCAGCCGCCGGTCAACCACATCCACGTGGGCGGCCTTGTACGCAAGAGGTTCTCAACAGGGGGAGTTGTAAGGAAGAAGCTAAGAAATGAATTGATATCTTTTTTGTTTTTTTCGCTTTTGCGCTCTGATAGCTCTGTGACGATATATATACACCGTCGCCAAACCTGAGGCTCGGAAAAAATGAACAAGGGCTACAAAAGAAAGATAAACAATCAATAACTTCATTTCTGTTTTATGATATGTATGTATATATCTGTTTGGCTATGTGTATATATAAATGATAAATATAAATGATATATATGCCTCACCGTAGCTGTCCTATCTGCCGAGGTGGGGGCAGGTAAAGAAAAAAAGAAGAAAAGAAAAATAGAAAAAAAGAAAAAAAGAAAAAAGAGAAAAAAAGAAAAAAAGAAGAAAAGAGAAAGAGAAAAAAAGAAAAAGAGAAAAAAAGAAAAAAAGAAAAAAGAGAAAAAAAGAAAAAAAGAAAAAAGATACGTCGATCTGTGGGATGTGTTATTTGCTTTGTGATAATTGGATTATCTTTCTTTCCCTGTCAGGTTTGGTTTCCTCCTCCCCTTCTTTACCTCTTTGCCTTTTGGCTGCGTGCAAGTGGGTCCTTGTGACACACGGGGATGGGGGCAGCCAGCGCTC